CGAACAAAAATACATACGGAGCATAACAGAGATGGGGCCGGCTCGTATATAAACGAGCACTTCCGAAGAAGACAGGGCAATCTAGAGAAGTTTGGGGAGTATGACCTTTAAAAAAAAAAAAAAAACACAAACAAAAAAAACCCACGCGGCAGGTTATACTACGTAACACACAAGGGAAAGCGCGCTAGCAGCCTCAGCTGGGCACTGCTCTCATCCACCCGCAGTCCCCCGGCCGGGCTGGGGTCCCCCGGCCGCGCTGGGGTCCCCATGCCCGCTCCCATTCCCGCTCCCGCCAGCGCCGCTACCTTGGCGCGCGCGGGAACCCGCGAGCCGGGCCCGCGTAAGCGTGGGGGGGCGTTTTGGGAGGAGAGGCGGGCGCTGATTGGACGAGCGCGGGGGAAGGCGGGCGCTGATTGGCCGAGCGCGGGGGAGCGGGGATGGGGGGGGTGATGAAGGCACCGGCAGAGCTGCCTCAGCCCGGCAGGGGGCGCCGCCGCACAGCGCACGGGAGGGAAGGCGGGAATGGGGGCAGCGGGATGGAGCGGGGCGGGGCGGAGCAACGCGGCGGGTGTGGTTATGGTCCCTAGTAAGGCACGGCGGCAAAGAAGAGCTCTGAACCGACAGCCGGGCGGCCAGAGGAGGGAGGGTGTTCTGCCTGGCAGAAGGGGAGGAGGAAGATGGGCGGGGGATACGCGGGTACCTAAATGTTTCCGTCCGAGCGGGTTATATAAAGTTAGCGTGGTGTTACGCAACCGTCCCGGCGCTGCCGCGGTGTAGAAGTAGAAAACGAAGCAGGAAATAAATAAAATCGCGAAACGGGTCACGCGAAAGCCAGGAGTGTGCAGGTCAAGGACGGCGGGCCGGGGGAAGGCGGGATGAGCCTGGAGGACTCCGCGATCCAGCGCCTTCCAGAAGCTGAGGACCGACCCTGCCGGTAACAAATGTACCGCACCCCGGTGCGAGCCGGCCTGCTCGCAGCAGGCAGGCAGCAGTATTTCTGCACAGAGCGGCACCCACACACAAAGGGAAAGATGCATCTGTGTTTATGGGTAACTTGGAGATAAGTGAGATGACAAAGGAATTTGGTCCTTGGGACTTCAGGTCATTTAGGTGTGTTTAAGAGGCATCCGGCAAGTCAGAGGTACAGCCAGGTGTAAGCCGATACCAAAACTGTTCCCTCTTTGACCAACGGGAAAAAGCTAAGGCAGAAATAGTGTCAAACCCAGCCAGCCGTGCCTAGATCCCTCCAGTCACGTTTGACACAGGGCTACTCTGTAATCAGACTACTTAAGTAGTCTGTAACTCATGCCACCGGATCTCCACATGCTATTTGTTTGCCCATTTACTCCTGTAAAGAGCAATCCATATAATACAAGTAATTTTAAAACTACAGCTAGAAGTTATTTGTCAGGCAGCTTTTATTTGTGGTGTATTACCAGAAACAGACTTTAAGGAAGACACAGCTGTTTTGTGTTGGGGGGTATTTCCCCCTCCACATAATTGTCAAGCCTACTTCCTTGAGAAACAATCTGTTCACATTAGCTCACTCACCTCCCTTCTACCCAAGCTCTCAAGCCTAAATGGAGGGTGAGAATCCTTGTAAAGCCTTAAATTGAAAGCCTCTTGTATCTGTTGAGTAAGAAAGCTCAAGCTTTGGTCAATTTTAGGTCTTAGCAAACATAAACGACCTGAAGCAGAGGATCTCTTGCAGAGAACCACCACTGCTTGTTTTAATTAGAATTCAAGTTGTCTCCTATGCTTGAAGCAGTTGGAGCGACCTGATCCTTAATGGATTTAAACAAGTGTTTTCTAGAACTCTGGGCTTTGTTTTGTTGGTTTAAGATTAATCACAGTTCCTTTGAGAGACTTAAAAGCAGCAATAAAAATGGCTGCTTCGTTGCTTTACATATGAAGCTTGCTATTAGCATTAATATCTATGGAAACCTAAACCTGACAAGACAACTAGGTAGTTCCATAGTTCAGCTTTATGACTCTACATGCACATCGAAATAAAATTGTTCAATTCACTGTGTTAATCACAAATTATGAAGTTTTATAACTAGCACCCCCAGGATCCTTTGATTGTGACACACATGGGGAAAAGAAAATCCAAATAAGCTAGGCATTAGTTCAGTCTTGCACAGCAAGAACCAAGAATTAAAAACTTGGTAATTTTACCTAAATATCAATTTTAATGCAGGTACTGTATATAATGTCTGTGTATAAACTAACATTTCAGCCAAAATCAAACCCTTAAATTATTAAAAATATATTTTTCATGAAGTGCTGCACAACCATATAGTTGCCAGACTCCAATGAAACCAGGAGCCCAAGTTAAATTTTCCTGCTATTTACAGCTGGCATATTCTTCCTTAAATATAGTCTTCTCACACAGCATTCTGATTGTGGTTTCTGTTGTTCTTCATAAAAACCAGCACAGAACTATCTCTTGGCAAAGGTAAGAAAAGAAACAAATGATGAAAATTTGTAAATCAACTTTATTCAATGATGAGTATCATTTAGGCATCGGCAATAGTAACTTCAACTTCTACGCCTGGTTCGATGCTGATGGAAGTGATCTGCTTCACGATCTCCGAAGGGCTGTGCAGGTCAATGAGCCGCTTATGGATACGCATTTGGAAGCGATCCCAGGTCTTGGAACCCTCACCACAAGGCGTCTTCCTGGTAGTGATCCGCAGGGTCTGCAAAGTCAAACATGGGGTATTTAGTTCATGCACTGAGAGGAGTAATCTACAATCATATGAAAAGATGATCACCTACAAATACTGTATGGTATCTATGCCATTAGAAAGCTACCTACTAAGTTTGGTCTGCTGATTAAGTTAACACTCCTTCCCTACATATTTCTTTTCATTTAAAAAATGTGTTTGTTATTAAAATAAAGTGAACAGAAAAGCCCCTTCCACAGTCAACATGTTTTGCACTTAACAGTTATCCTAAGTAGCTGTCAAAGCAACTTGTGAAATCATCTTTTTACAATGGGTCACCCTCAGTTTAGTAGCACTATTTTTCACCTCACCTTTTGTTCTTTAAAAAATATGTTTTTAAGCACACAGCTGCAGAAAGAAAACCAATTTTTAAGGCAGAAAAACAGTGTCAAGTACCTTGGTGGGCATGCGAACAGGTCCCTTCACCTTCAGGTTTTTTTCCTTAGCACCTCTGATCAAGTCAGCACAGACTGAAAAAAGACAAGCAATGGCTCAGGTTTGCAACTATTTTGATTTTTTTTAAGCATGTATTTTAAACAAGATGTTGGCTCAGAATAGCGTATGAGCGATCACTGCCATTCATTTAAAGCATTATCCTCACAGCCAACCACGTACAACTGAAAGTGTTGTGACATCACAAGTAAAGCCATGGTGCAACAGTAAGTAATAGGCATTACTACAAGCTTAAACCGTATTTAAGCTGTTATCAGCCTGAAGATCCTGCAAATAGTAACTTTTTTTACATTTTTATTATATGACTAAACACTGGCAAAGCTAGTTCCTAAATTAAAAGTTTTTTTTAAAGAACGTTACACTAAACTCTTCATAACACAAATGGCAAAATATCAAGAAACCAGTGCCTTTCAGTTCTTATACATTCAAAGCATGGTAACTATTTAAAAATTCTCCGTAAGAACTAAAGGGAAGAAGCTGCACTCTCTTACATTAGTCATTATGACATAAGTTTTCCATATAATAAAAACCCACAAAACACCAACTTTCATTAAAAATTAAATCAGAATTTACTTTCTAGTGTGTGAAGCACTTTGAGTTGGCTTTGCGAGCCGAGGCAAGTACAAAAAGGCAAACAGTAACATCTTTAATTACAACTGGTTTCAGTACATTGTATTTTGCAATGCCTTACATGGCACCTATTATTCATTACTTGACAAGCTACCCAAGTAAGCAGAGAAGTACTACTCACCCTTCTCCAGTGATTTTACATTGCGACTTGTCAAAGTAATTCTAATGCGATGGATCGCCACCTCTTGTTCCACAGGTGCTTTGCCAGTATCTTTAAACGCCTAAAATGTTGAAGTTACAAGTATAAGACACTACAGTGAACACCAACTAACACTATCCGCCGCCTCTTAGAAACAGATTTCTAAAGTGTAAAGAACAATTTACTTATGGAACTATGTAACACTATTGACTAGAAGAGCTGTCTGAAGGGCATGGCAGCATAGTAGAAATAATGGGAAGAGAATGAAAGGGCTAAGTCCTAACTCCAAGGAAAAGCTATTTTTTTGTGTCTAACTACATCTCAGGGTGGGAAGCTCCACACCCTCCCATGGGTTGCCTATATACAGCTGGCACAAACATTCCTTTTCCTAAAAAAAAAATGTATTTCATTCTTCACGTATCTTACAACTTAACCTCATCACAAATGAAGTAGCAAAGATCTGATTAACAAACATCCAATAACTCACTCCACTAGAACAAAAAAGAGCACCTGGCCAGAAAGACTAATTCGGCCACTCAAATAACTGATTTGAGGAGCTTAAGCAATTAAAACACAAATAATGGGGCATTAATGTGAGTTAAGTGAGTTGATGAAATCGAGTAAAAATACAGACAAAAGAAGGTCTAAACAGAGTTGAAATATATGTCTCTATAAAAATATAATATAGAATATGAAAATATAGGGAGGTTGCCCAGAGGATGGAACCAGGCTCTTCTCGGTGGTGCAAAGCAGTAACACAGGAGACAACGGGCAGAAAGTAATGAACATTAGTTCCACTCGAACATGAAGAACTTCTTTATTGTGCGGGCGACTGAGCACGGGAACAGACTGCCCAGACAGACTGCGTGCGGCGTATCCCTCACTGGAGATATTCAAGAGCCATCCGCACTCAATCCCGCGCCATGTGCTCTAGGATGACTCACTGTGGTCCCTTCCAACTCGGCCTATTCCGTGACTGTGCGGAACACGGGGTGTCACACTGA